CCACCTTTCTCTGAAACCAGTTGAGATGGGTTACAATAATAACAATACACAATTAAAATCTGTAAAAAACGTGACATAAATTAGGCAGCAATGTCAGAAGTTCTTCTGAACAGCAGTCTTAACACAACTTTTTTGTGTGATCATTTTTATTTCTAGAAGTTGAAGGTTATAGCGTTCTGTGAAATGAAGCACACTGTGAAGTAGCTTCTGTCAATTTGTGTCTGATAGTGGAACTTCAAATAGGTACCTCTTTTCAAATTGAAACACATCTCAAATATGAGGTTTTTGTTTATTGATGTCCTTGGAAAAACAGCAGGATAATGCAAACACTTCAGACAAATTCTAAACTTGTTTATTGGGAAATACATTGCATTAAATCCAGTAAGGATGCTTAAGCTTATGGACTTTTTGTTACGTATTAGCAACACTAACCTAGTGCAAAATAGGGCAAAAGGAGCTGCATCAAGAACTGTAGCATTTGATTCCAAGGACAGAATGAACCAGACAGCGCTTTTAAAGCTAATGATTGTTCTAGATACAAATTTTTATAAATTGCATCACACTTCATAGATGCATTTAATGGAACGATTTATAGGAAACACTTGCAGGCAGTTTGTAGTTGATGTCCTTCACGAACACTCAGCCCTAACACTGAAGGGGATGGTGCCACAGACCACTATATGCATATTCTATGTATGGTACCAAAAGTAAAAAAGGGAGTAATGTCAAGGTATGTGGCCATGCCCTTCATGAGGAGTCATATCTAAGAGTGAGATGCAATTTGCAGGGCCTGCTTACTGACCCAATAAAAACCTTCAAGGGTGTCAGGCAGGGCTGCCTTTTGGCTCCCACACTATTTAACTATTCTATCACTGATATAGTGAAACATATGACTGATATCAAATTCCACCCGCCGAAGCTCGCTTCCCGTCACCTCTCAATACTGCTATATGCAGATGATGCGGCCCTGTTATCTAGGGCATCGCTAGGACTCTGTAGGGCACTAGACAATTTTGTAACATATTGTGACAAGGAACATCTGGTGATAAATTTTGATTAAAAAAAAGTGATGGCATTTGGCAGACGACCTAAGAAACATTCCTGGCCCATGAAAGGGAATAAAATCGAACAAGTAAACAAATCCATTTATCTGTGGGTGGCTATTCAGGATTCTGGAGTAAATTCAGCACATTGCAACATGATGGTGTAGAGAACCGAGAAAGCTGTGCATGCTATTTTTAGATTTTTTTGATCAAATGGGGGGGGGGGTTATATCTCCCGGCAGTATTGAAGCTGTTCCAATGCAAAGTCTTAGCGCAGTTCCTTCATGGCATTTATACGGGCATTTCTGCTGTCAACTTACATTGTCTCGAGAAGGTCCAGTCTAAATTTCTCTGTAATATTTTACATGTACCCCCTGGTGTGCCAAATGCCCTTCTAAGTCTTGAAACAGGTCAAATGAGAATAGAAGCTAGAATACTGTTAGCTTTTGCATATCAGTGGACTCCAAAAGGCCTTTCCCCACTAATAATTCAAGATTCTCATCACCCAAGGTGGATGCAATGGTCAAGATCAATTTAGAAAGAGTAGGACTCTCTCCTGAGAATCTTTTGGCGCAGAGCAGTGCCCAGGCGAAAAGTACCATCAAACAAAGGGTGCGTGATACAGAGCGACAGCGAGATTTAATAAAAGCCCTTTGTTTCCTGGCCCCCAGAGAGTCCAGATACGTTATGGATATGGCCAAATATTTTACGTATTTGGATATGCCATCTCAGAAGAGTTTTTACTTTGGCTCATTGTGCAGTTATCCCTTCAAGGGTTCTAGATGTGAAATGTAGGAAGATCCCGTATGGAGACAGATGCTGCCCTTGTTCTATTGAAGAAGAGGAATTGATGGTTCATATGTTCTTTAGGTGCCCGTTCCATCAAGTTCATAGGGATAAGTTTTATTTCCCCATTTTTAGACAGACCATTGGTAGATGCAGATGAGACCTGCCTGGAGAGACTTTTAGTTAATGAAAAGCCAATTATCTCCAGACAAATAGCCAAATTCTGCTTCTACTTGGTAAAATTTCACAAGAAGTATGGTTATGTATAGTGTAATCATTTTAGATATATCTTAAGGTTTTTTTATTATAGTTCATAAATATTTTAAGGTTTGTATGACTAAACATATTTTCTGTGCTGGAATGAATCTTTGACTGTATAATATTGTATTCTTATGAAAAATGGTCTTTGACCGCAAATAAACATTAATTAATTAATTAATTCAAGGTATGTGGTAAATTGAATTTTCTTATGATCCAGAGGTGTGTGTTCACCTCATGTTTAAAGATGAGCATTCTGTTGAACATGTAAAAACGCCTGTGAGTTTTATGGTGCTTTATCCACTGTCTTGAAAAGGTACCGGAAACTAAAGAATGTTTGCCTCAGTTCTTGCAGTTACACATCATGACCATAATATAGCAGATCTAAATATGATACAGAATCTGGCAGTAGCTTCAGAATTTCCATGTGTGTTCTGAATGGTAGCATGGAGTTGACTAGCATGGTCAGTGTTCTGTACCCAGTGCTCTAAATGGCTAGAACCAGGATATGCTGCATGGACTTGTTAAAACTCATAGCATGGTAGATTTTGATGAAATCCTCCTCTTTCTTTCCTTTGAGCATTTGTGGTTATGAATATTTTCCAGGTCACTTTCGGCCTGAATTTATCCGGCCACCACCTCCACTCCATATTTGTGAGGATGAACTGGCTTGGCTCAACCCCATAGAGCCAGATCATGCAATTCAGTGGGACAAATCAATGTGTGTGAAAAACAGTGCTGGAGTAGAGATCAAGCGCATCATGGCCAAAGCTTTCAAAAGCCCTTTGTCATCACCACAGCAAACACAGGTATGTACATTGGTTGCAGTGTGTGCAGAGTGGTATCTGTACCATCTCCTAACATGTGGCTCAAATTCTCGGGTGAGCAGCCTCAAGGATGCAAGCCTGTTCCCTGAGACGGAGGAATCTTGCCCAGTAAGCAGATATTATTTATTTATTTCTCAAATTTACACCCTGTCCTCCCAGTCGGCTCAGAACAATGCACTATGCTTTATAACTTCCATCTGTCCCCCTTTTTGCATGACTCATTTTGACTTTTAATGCCTTTTAACTTCAGCACAGTCCTGTACTGAGAGGAATAAAGACTAGTGCGCTGGCTTCCTTTGTTACTGAATTCACTTGCCTCTTATCCTTTTTCCCGCCTTTATTATTAGTTCTCTTTCTCAGGGAGCTCTGGCTGTCTTGCAAGCTAGCCCTAAATATATAGCAATGGTAAAATCTTCACCCTTCTATTATAGTTAATCATCTTGGGTCCTAGCTAATAAAACAGGGTGTGTGAGTCATGAAGGATGGTGTTTGAACAACAGGTAGTGATTAAAGGATTCAGATGGGTCCCTTCAGGGAGAACTGCTCTGCCTTGAAATTAAAGTTTTTCTGAGCTGGCTAAGACCTAATCTGTAGCCTATCGATTGATCAAACTTACCTTTGATCTAGGTCTAGCTATACCAGATTTGTTTTGGCTGTTGGGCAAAGTTGAAAGGATCCAAATTGCTACAGAAATTCTCTTCTGATTAAAACCTAGTTCCTGGACTTAAATTTAAACCTCAAGGCACTGTTTGAAATCCATCTTATACAAGTTCACTTGAAACGCATACCTTTTTGCACTCAGTGGGATAACTGCAGGTAAACATGCACAGGATTTGGCTTTGTGGCTGAATAAAGTGCTACTTAAGTGATTTTGGACAAGTACAGCCAAAAGATCTGCTCTAAGAGTCACTACAAGGGACTGGAGTAGTCTAGCCATACTAAACAAGACCTTGCATGCATGCCAGGTAGGCATGACAAGGGAAGGACAACATAAATATCCGAGCTGCGAGTCTGATACAAGCAGAGAAGGTATATAATGCTTTTGCAGGCTACTTGCAGAATGTAATAGAATCAAATGTTCATCTCCGTGTCTTCTGTGCAGTCCCACATGGGACTGCCTAAAGGCAGGCCTGTATGTGCCTGCACAGAAGACACTCGATGAACAACCATGTTTTTTTCACATGCAGGAGATCTTTGCTTACAAGACAAAATGACATCTGCAAAGCAGTTAATTGGTGTGTACCTTTCAGTTCTTAAAGTACTTTTTTTTTTTTTTTTTGCAGCTCCTTGGGGAGTTGGAGAAAGACCCCAAACTTGTTTACCATATTGGCCTCACTCCTGCCAAGCTGCCTGACTTAGTGGAAAACAATCCTTTAGTTGCTATAGAAATGCTGCTTAAACTAATGCAGTCAAGTCAGATAACAGAATATTTCTCTGTATTGGTCAACATGGACATGTCTCTCCATTCAATGGAAGTTGTAAACCGGTAAGTGTGTACTTGAAATAATTTCTTTTGACATTTTTTTTTTTTAAAGAGCTTGGTTTTAATATATAGAAAGCCATTTCCCAAGATTCTATCATGTTTGTCATTCCAAAAAGTAAAACCTGGGGTGGATATAGACTGGTTCAGTGGCTCATAGAACTACAGGACAAAGCAGGCTGCAACCTGAGATATGATCGAGAGGGGCAAAACCTAGTATCAGTTACAGGTACTGGGGTCACAAAAGGCAAGTTCAGTCCCTATCTCAACTGCGGTCCTCTTTGATTTCTTCCATATAATTGAATAGCTGCATTTGTGAACAGCACTGCAGTGTGAAATAACTCTCTACATGGGGAGCAGAGATACAGCATCTGCACAGAACAGAAATCTAGGGGACGATGATTTGTTTTTCACCCATATTCAGTTGTAGTCTTGATTTTCACATTCCACACATGGTAGATTGATAAGCTGTCCATTTAGAGGCTGCCTTTATGTGTACTTGTTCATTCCAACCTGTATGTAGCCCAGGATTTTGGCCTCAGCCATGGACAGGTCTGGGGCAAATTCAGTGGTAGCCAAGGATAATAAATGATTATATTTTCAACAGGCTTACAACAGCAGTTGATCTTCCTCCAGAATTTATTCACCTTTATATCTCCAATTGTATTTCTACTTGTGAGCAAATTAAGGACAAGTACATGCAGGTAAACGTTCATGAGTTTACTGAAAACAGAAACCATTGCATCCTGGCTACTGAAGAAAAGCTAGGCCAAGGATTGTACAGAAAGAAAAGTTATCTGGGGTTTGAAGATGCATGGATGTGAAACTTTTGCTCCCAGGAATCTGAGGTTTTTTGGGGGGTGGGGTGGGGGCTTTAATTCCACCCTGTTAAATTAGCCTGAGCAAGGCTGTTAATGATAGGGTTGCCATAAATTAGAAACCACCTGACTGCACAAAATACTCATTTCCATTCTATTCAAGGTTGACTTTTTTGTTTCTGTTAGAAAAGTGAAATGGATGGTCCAGCAACTATACAATGTGTGGTACTAAAGTATCCCATTAGTTGCTGGAATAAAAAGTGTTACTGAATGGTGTATGTAATTCTTCACCTGCTTATTGGGTGAAATTATAATCTTGTTTACAATATAGCTCTTGTTTTTCCCCCCTCCAGAACCGGTTGGTACGTCTTGTTTGTGTCTTTCTACAATCCTTGATCCGGAATAAAATCATTAATGTACAGGACTTATTTATAGAGGTACAGGCCTTCTGTATTGAATTCAGTCGGATAAGAGAAGCAGCTGGCCTTTTCCGATTGCTCAAGACACTTGACACTGGTGAAAACCCTTCAGAGACAAAGACTTCAAAATAAGACTTAAATGGGAACATTACTTTGGATTAGGGCTCTGTTTGACTTTTGTATAGTTGATTTTGTTATTGCTTGCAATTAAGATGCTATTTGTGCTGTATTAAATACTGCTTTTTCTGGTGGATAAGGTGTCTGAGTCTGGCACTGTAATGCAAGCTTCTGCTTGACATTGCCTATGGTTGAGGTAGTTTGCATGGAACTTGTGTGGGGATACTACCTCGTCGGGAGTTATACAAACTGCATTTTTGGGGAGAAGTTGTTACTGTGGGAAGTATTTCTTACATCTGAAATCCAAGCCTATGAAGTATTTAAGGTACAGGCTTTGTACTATTTACCCTGTTCTGTTGATTTGCATGCGAAGAGCTGAAGTTGCCATTGTCTGCTGAGAGGTCAAATGTTCCTGAGTTGCTGAAGCACTTCCTGCACAGTATTCCAATGTAAAATCCTCTGAATGTAGCATAGGTGTGTGGAGGGTAGACTATGGCTGAAGAAAACTAATTTTATAAAACGATTAAACAGTTTTAATGTCTCATTGCTCCTTCTACAGACAATCTTCCGAAGGGGTGATCAAGCAGTAGTTTAAAAACTTGGAAAGCTGGGCTGAAGAAGTGATACGTGATCAGCCCCCGTCTCCTAGCCTTTTGTGCGAGCATTCACACCCCAACTTTGGGAATACAAAAATGGTGGTTTTACTATGGGAGAATCTTATACAGATTTCTATTTACGTTCTTGATTGCAATTGTGGGTAATTGCCCAACAATATGAACAGCTGAGGCGTTTTAATAAATCAAGCTTAGTTGACACATCTTGCTTTATACTTAAGATTTTATACCTTTATCTGGAGAATGTTTTAATAGTCAAAGCAGAGAGAAAAAATCCAGTTGTGATATCTGTAAATATGGCATAACTTTCAAACTAATTAAGTGTTGCTATGAGAAACTAAAAGATGATGCAACTTCATACATGTGAACAGTGCTTGGAATTCATTGACTTCAGCCTGAAGTTTCAAAAATTAGGAAGGATAACAAGCAATTAAGGAAATTAAACTCTAGAAAACACTTCAGGATTTATTATCCTGTCTCTCCCAATTCTCATTTTTCCATTTTCAGGATACAACCTATCATTTCTAGTTATGCTGAGAGGCTATAAATAAGCACCTTTTTTACAACAGACCAAAAACAACTTTTATTTAAAAAATTATAATTTGTTTAAATATACAAGTTAGGACAGATACTCCAGTAACAGACTTGTAGCTTTACTTCTGAGACATGTCATAACATGAAGCATTTTTCATTTTGGTGCATCAACAGAAAACCTCAACAGATCCTGCTAAAGTGAAACATTGACCTAAATTCTGTCCTGATAAAGGCTTTTTCAGCTCTTCAGAGAAATGCCCTGCTCCCAATCAACATTAAGTAACCTTTGTTGGGTTGTAAAATGCACTAGAGAAACTAGGTAATGTCTTACAAAAATTCACATGGTATAGTTTCTGTTCTTTGTCTATAAGGGTAATTTCAATTTTGCTGTTATTAGGCTGGGTATTTTTTAAAAGAACCAAAACCTGTTAAGGGAGTGTTTTGTGTAGCTAAGTGAGTGAGCTGTGATTATTAAGCTGTATTTTTACTACTATTGCTACACTTCCTTATATGTGGATGGGAGACCTCAGGAACCTCACAAGAAATACTTTAAAGTACTTCCTGAAAACAGTATGCAGCACTACCACAAAATGTTACACTGAATATAACACCAGGAAGAAATTCATGATAATTTTCTATCCAGCATGTATGCACACAACTTCAGTAATTCTGATTTACAGATCAGTATTATCTCTCAACTGGGCTTGTCTGAATGAGTTCCACAACACCTGTGTGAGAAAAGAAATAGTAATGTATACTTCATTATTAAGTAGCATGCTTAAACTAGTAGAACTATAGAGAGTAAGGATTTGAAGATTTTGGCTCAACTGCTTTAAAGCTGTACAGAGGAGAAGGGGACACTATTTGTAGAGTCTTTGTTTTTTAGAAGTTACTACATTCATACATTCAAAGTACGACATTTAAAGAAGTAAGCTGTACATCATATAGGAACATCCTTGCTAAGGAACTGGTCTCAGCAGGAACTGTCATACATGGTTTTGACCTAACAGACCTAATTCAGAGGACAAGACTAGGCAGTTCATTTGGTTGAATTTTAAAACAATGGTCAATGTTACCAAAATATCAAGTTTGTGGCCAATTGTGACCAGCAGCCAAGGAAGAAGATAATTACACAAATCTTATAGCGTTTTCTATTATACTTCATGAAGTATTGCTGAGGTCAGACAAAATAGTCGCTTCAGGAGATTTGTCATCATGCCTTTAGAGAGAAAACTGTTTGCAGGCACTGCAATTCGGCCTTTCACTGTCATCACTCCTCAGCAATGCTCAGGCTACACAGAAAGTTATGCCTACAAATACAATTAGCCAGTAATCAGAATCTACTTCAAAGCAGCTCTGAAGGCCACAACAGGGATTGTAGAACCAGCCACCAATACAGAGCCCTGAAATCAGTTCTACTTCCACCAGAAGTCCTTCCATCTTTTGATTTTTGGAGGTTCATCCAAAACTGCTTCCATGTTTCTACACATCTGAAAATTGACTTGTGACTGTTCTAGCATTTTCTATAGATGTCATATGCTTTGCTTCGTTCTCTGAATATCTAGTATATAAAGCAGCTAAATATAGACTGTATGACCATTTATTATACAATAATCCTGGTTCCAAGTGCTACTAGGTTTTACATACAGTTGTTGCAGGATTTCTTTCTAAAATAATTGGGGAAAGTGCACTTTTAAGTATTTAAAGTACCAATCTAGCACTTATATGGGAAAATAAATTTGTACTCACCACACTGTATTCTCCAACAGCAGCTCTGCATTGTAAATATTAGATAAGATTTGGAGCCTTCCAGTGTACCAGCTTCCTGTCAGCTCTTTATATTAAGCTGAAGTTGTGATCTTTTTAAAACTTGTAGTTAATGCTTTGTGCTGAGAATGTAGAAACATCAGTTACTGAACGACTTGGAGATAGTTCCTTTCTGAAAGCCAGCATCAATATTGACATGGCTAGCAGTCCATTCCACTGAGTGCTCACAGAAAGATACAGGTCTAGTAGAAATAAATTTTGACACTCAACATGTGGCAAAGTTGCTCTCCAGCAGGAAGTGGTGGCAAGCTCTTCAGGGAGTATTGGACATGTATGTTTACAGCAGTCACTTGTTCCAGAGGCTTAAAAACAAGCTTCTCTTCTGCCTTTCCACTTTTCTTCTTGGAGCATAATAAAATTAAATATTTCAGCTTTAGAAGATACCCATTTTAAAATATGCATTCCAGAAAGCACCTTACTGAATGTCTACTTTGGGCAGTTTTAAGCAAGGTGTAAACTTTACAACATACATTCATTGGTGATAACAACTAAAACTCTGAACATACTACATACACTACTGTTTTCCTCTGAGCTTATTATGTAGCATTACTTAAACAGGAAATTAAGTAACAGTGGTATTTTTTAGTTTTGTACACTTCAAGCTTAATGCTTCCCAGCCATTATATAAAAGGCACAATGCTGCTAATCTAGCAACAGAACAGAAATGGAACTAATGGCTACCTCAAGCAAAAAATGTTGTATACCTTTATAGGATGTTGTCACAAGGATCCCAATACTGAGTTCAGATACAGAAAATGCAAAGGAAGCGCATGGAGAAGTAACAGGAAAAGATGCATATATATCTGAGTCAATGAGGATTTATAAATAGAATAAATAACTTCCAACCATGAACTTTCTACTTCAGTTTTACTCATGTAAGAGTTGAGGTAACTTGCATGAGTATTAAATAACTCTTCATGCACAACATATGAAAGCAGTTGATCTATGTATCCAAGGCAGTGCAAAATAATTTCAACCATGAAACTTAATTTAGTACAACCTAAGTGTTTTTGACTCTTGCAGTAATTTTCTCAGCAAGTGCGTGGCTAACCACTTAAATAGTCTGGTGTTTTACAAATCTGTATTATATATTAATAACTAGGTAATCTTTTAAACAAAAGGTTTAAAAACCTAGGTTTGATAAATGCATGCTACATGTAATACAATAACCCACCATTATTTGTCTATCAGCCTGTTTATTCTTCCCAGGCTTGTTCACTGTAAGAGTTTTCTGGCACAAAAACAAATTATTTCACACATTTTAAGCTTGCTGTTCTTTATCCAAGGGTATTTTCCTTTGTATCATCTTTAAGAAATCAGTTCTGTTTCTTCCCCTGGACTCTGTTCCTACAAACGAAGGTACAGAAATCAAGTGAAAGAAAGGAACCTGTTTTCCAATACTCTTGGAAAAGATCAACCAACTCAAAGGCATCAGATCACCCACACCCTTTTTCTACCACACCCATAAGATTTCATGCTGGTTTTGTCAATGTCAATTGGTGCAGCTCTCTCATTTCTACACAAAAGTAACAGTATACCCCCTTTTCTATAGGATTAGATTTCCTAAAAAATATTCTCATACAAAATTTAGTTATATTAGCCCTTTTGAAACGTAAAACACATGTCCATACCATTTAAATAAAAATAAAGTAACTTTTAGCTTTCAGTTTAAAGCTTTCATTGAGAGTTTCCACTGGACAGGAATTCTTCAGGCTGTTTGCCTCCGCCATCTGTTTCTGGAAAATAAAGATGGAAGTAGTAACATTTGTGAAAAGATCTTCATTAATAAAATCGTTCCAATTTGGTCTTTGGTCCTTTCCACATTAGCCTGCCACTCCGGATTTTCTCAGTGTTTGAGTTGAAATAATTTAAGTCCACGGCAACACAGCGTCCAAATAACCTGGGGCAACAGCAGGCTGAAACCGGGCTGACCACTAAAGGGAGGTAATGTAATGCAGAATGGGGAGAAAACCCGGAATAAGAAGGTTGAACGCGATTTTAGTGCAGAATTGCTTGGAGGACACCATGGTCAACGTGGATTAAAAGGAGAGTGCAGAAAGGGCCAAGATAAAAAAGGAAACCTATTTAAGATGAATGATTTGATTTCCAAAGCCTCTAGCAAGTAATGGAATAAGGAAAAGTTGTTCAGTATTACAAAGACAATTTTCTTAAAATTCCCAGTTCTTCACAAACCTTCCCCATCCTTTCACTCCTACTCAGTTGAATTTGAGCCCCCATCCCCTAAAAGGATAATATACTCTGTTAAGTACTGTTTGTATAATTCAATAGGGGTTAATTCTTCATTCTACAGTAGCAGACACAGACAAACAAAATGAGTAAAAAACCCTACTGCTTCAGGTTTAGGTACAGTTATCAACACTGATAAGGACAACACAAAAGCTCATATATTTATTTTTTAAAAGTAAGAACGGGACAATTTTTAAAGTGCATCTACTACTTACACTACGGTAAACCTCTTTGGAAAAGATGAGCGTGCTTGGAATTTTGTGGGCAAAAATTTCCATTCTCAGAATGTGAAAGAGATTTAAACATACAGCATAGCTGTTACCTACCAAGTAATGCTGCTGTTTCACCTACATCTTCTTTTAATCTGCTACAGTTTAATGTGGAATCATGAGCAGAGGATGCTGGTATCTCACTTAGGTCATTTCTGTCTTCTTCTTGTACAGTAATACTCCAGCTTTCAGCTGATATGCTGCCACTTATTGATTCAGGTACTGCAAGTTCAAGTAAATCTTTAGGTTCTCCCTTTAATATTAAAGAAAAATTATACTGATCAGCAAAAAGAGTTTGGGGTGTGTGTGTTTATTTAAACAGAACTAAAACGCAATCCTATCAACTCTACGCCAGTGTCTCTGACTTCTGCTACTACTGTCTAGAGGTGTGCATGGGGGAAAAAAGGTATTTTTCATATTCGGGTATATCAGACCCCCAAAATATTGACACATATCAAATTTCCCAAGTACTGATACCGTTATAGTATTCAGACTCGGGAAATACGTGGTATTTCTGAATGTATTTGGGTCTATTATACCAATGGGGAATTTTCTTGTACACAGGGTAGGCAAGGAGAGCAAGAAGGCGTTAAAATGCCTTCCTTTCCCTCCTCCAGCCACTTCCACTGGTCAGTTTCACAGGGAAGTTACAGTGGGAGGTAAACCTGCTTCCCAGGATTGAGGGTCCAAACTTTTAATGAGTCAGGGCTGCACAATGTGTCTCAGGGATCCACGCCACCCATGGGTCCCTCCTGCTACTCCTTTTATTAATCTATTATGACATGGTATGACAACAGGGGGAGCTGCGGTGGCTCAAGTGGTTAAGACACTGAACTGCAGGCTGGGGAAGGTCAGTAGTTCAGCAGTTCAAGACCCAGGTGCCGCAAGACGGGATGAGCTCCCGTCTGTAGTTCCAGCTCCTGCCAACCTAGCAGTTCGAAAGCAAGAAATTGCAAGTAGATAAATAGGGACCACTTCGGTGGGAAGGTAACAGCGTTCCGTGCGCCTTGGTGTTTAATCATGCCGGCCACATGACCACGGAAACGTCTTCGGACAGCGCTGGCTCTTCGGCTTTGAAACGGAGATGAGCACCGCAACCCTAGAGTCGGATTCGACTGGCTTTCAAGCAAGGGAACCTTTACCTTTACCTATGACAACAGGATATTGCGTCAGTAATGTATTTTTACTTGCTTCCCCATAGGAAGACTCTAAAAGAAGTTACACAGACAGTAAGAGCTGAGCTATGTGTTCAGCAAACCCTAATAGTGCAGCACTCCTATGACTGTAGCATTTCAGAATGCAGCCACAAAGCTCATGGGGCAATGTAAGTGCTGTCCCTCAAATGCTCATTGCAGATGGAGAGCTATCATGTCAAGCAGAAGTCCTCTAGCCTAGCTTCCCATCCAATATGCCAGCTTTCCAATAGCAAGGATTTTCCTTGCTGAAACAATAACCCATATTAAAACTTTATCTCCTACCTTCATTCTGCAATGATACAGTCCCAAGAGACCATGTGATTTTATTGGATCTGTGCCTGCTGTTCTAAGGACAGCTTCATGTGTTATGGTTTCCATGTGTGCGCAATGTATCACACATACATCTGTACAGGGTGCATGACTGCTTCTAGTGTTCAAGCCAGATGTCATCTGGAAGTCAGTCTTCCTTAAGACTACCAAATGTATCCTCAGTATCAAACCCAATTATGCCGCAGCTCTATTACCTAAATAGGATAATCCTTAACACAGAGGCTACATGGAAGTAACAATATAAATAACAGACACCAATCTGGCAGATGTATGGAATGAACAATCATGCTAATTCCAAGCATGCGTCATTTCCTTTCCTCAGCCTGAGAAAGTTTCCAGTGATAAGAGACTGCAGTAAGCAGAGTGGGAAGGGGCAAAACAAAGAAGTAAAGCAGCAATAGTCAGGTTTTTTGAATGGGAAGGCAGAGGAAAAGAACATACACGAACACAAGAAGCTGCCTTGCTAGACCATCTAGCCCAGTGTCAATGGCAGTGGCTTTCTATAATCTCAGGCAGAGCTAGCCCTACCAAAACCCTTGTACTGTTGAGATGCTGCAGGCTAAACGTGGAACCTTCTGCATACAACCTATCTGCTCTACCAGAAGTAGTGTGACATGGAGGAAGGGGAGAAACACACTAGTCAACCCTGTACAAGACACTCTTATACTTCAAAGTTTCATTAATACATACCCAACATCCCAGAGCTTTGATAACATCTAGTTTGCACATTGGACATGTTCTGTGGTCCACTAGCCAAGGATCAATGCATGTTTTATGAAATACATGTCTGAAAAACAGAGGGCAGCATCTTTAAAACTAATACAGGACACTCCTGATGGAACTTTTTTTAAACACAAGATTTAGCAAACAACATATTAACAACTGCTAAAGAAAACCTAAAGGACAAACAAACTGTGCTTTTAGTAACAGAAAAGCTATAAAAGGGACTCATATTGTTGCATCATTTCTGCCTCTTCATTCAGAGCATTCTCATGCACAAAGCAGTTCCCCAACAGGGTATTTTCAGAACACAGAAACTCATGTCAGAAGAATTAAAATAATTTTTTACTATGTCCAGCATTAGACAGCAACTCTACTGCATGTGTCTTCTCCATTCAGCATAAACCGCAGAAAGCTTTTATCTACATAAGGTTAATTAAAAACTTTCCAAGGGACATCACCTCTTCAACAAGTCTATTGAAGCTTACTTGCAAGGCAAAATTCGAACTGTGTCTTTTGGTTTATAGTTTTCTATGCACACAGCACAATTTTCAGCATCAACATCCAGCTCCTGAAGAAAAAAACAAAACAAAACAGAGGGCGATACAGAGTGGCTTAAGCACACTGGGAATATTAGCATAAGTATTTCCGTGAAAGTTTTCTATGTTCATAAAAGAACTACTCAATTAACTGAAGTTCCAGAATACTGTAGATAGAATAAGAAAACAAGCTTAACCTGGAGAACTGCCAGCAAGCAAGCTTTAAGTGCTAATTTTATATTATTTATTTAATGTCTTTATAGCCTGCTGTTCACCCATGTTTGTTCTCAAAGCAGCTTATAATTAAAAACCATGGTATTTTTAATTAAAGCTAGTGGCTGAGATGCACTTTTCCCTATGCAATGAAAGAGGCTTCAACAAATATTCCAATAGCTGTTGAGGCCTAGGGGAACAATGAGAACTGACCATGTCTACGTTTATATGACAATATAAGATAAACACCTACAACTCGGCAGATGCTGCCTTTGGCAGAAGAGTGCTTCAGCACATAGTGGACACAGAAGACGATGACCCACCCAGAAAATGAGGACACTGTATATTTCTATATGCAGAATTCCATCAATTTCATTTTATTGAAACTATAATTAAAGAAAGCTTTCACTCTACATTAGTGTGACAGTAATTACCTTATCCTCTTGCTTCACAATATGGAGCTGCAGCTGGCCAATTACTTTCTTGATTTCTTTTCTGTTCCCCTTAAAAAAAATAACTCACGTTAGTAACCAGATTTCACTGCATCAGCTTATAAAGGATGTCTCTGTATTCTGCAGACAAAGGCTTCATCAGAAGGTTTATGAGTTTTGTTATCTATCACCACCACTGGGTAAATATTTTAAGTTCACTTTCTAAAGAGGAGAAGCACAGTTCTGTACCAATGTAACATATGAAAGGGAGCATCCATATATGATGCTGTCAGACTGCAGGTACCTAGCAGAATAATGTTTGACTGATACTCACTGTCTCTATACTATGTTAAGTACAGTAGCAACAAGCAGAACTGTCACTGTAGAAAACTCTGCTATCTGGAAGAATTATTTAAATGGAAGAATTATTCAGATCATTGCTACTTGTAAAGAATACTACACAGCTCATTAATTTTCCTCCTGAAACAAAGTTAGCAATGGTAAGCCACCTTAGTTTCTCTACCATTATACTTTGGCAGGGCAGCTAGGAAAATAATTTTATGTCCCCCAGTTTATCTATTTGCAGCCCATTAAGCAGTTCACAGAGCCTTCAAGATTAAGAAAATAATTTGATCATGATCAGTTCTGTTGCACCAGTGTATATAAGGAACAATGTTGTTATTCACATAGATTGGCTTCCAGAAATTACAAGTGTAATCAGAGGACGTTTCAGTGAGATACATATTGCCCTCAAAGGAACAACAAAACTCTAGCAGAAACTTCAGTACTGGAGGACTCCTCAAGATAGAAGGTTGTTTTAAGGACAAGGATTTAATTCTGGACACAATATATGTCTTTCCCAGGTATCCATATAACAGACACCATGATGCTTTTGCCAGTTGTTATTGGGAATATGAAGAAAAAGGCTAGCACACGTTAATTTTTAAAATGAGAACAAAATAGCTTGACAGCAAAAAAAAAGGTTTTAAACATCATATAATGGCTCACTCTTGTTTTATATTTCACTGTTCTTATGGTGGTGACACCCCTCATACAGATTGGTACGACATCATGCAAGATTCACAAACATTCCATTTTTGGAAGCCCAACCAAAAAAAAAAAAGGTTTTCAATTTAGCTGGTATTAAAAAAACACTCTCTCTCTCTCTCTCTCTCTCTCTCTCTCTCTCTCACACACACACACCCCTCCACACACTAGGCAGAGAAGTGCAAGCTAAGGACAAAGGTGGAAGAACTGATAGGAAGTAGGGAGGCTGAGGGGCAAGGAGACTAGAAGCAGGATGTCTTAAGAGAAAAAACGGCGTAAACACCTAGGAAATAGGAACACAAGAAAAAGGTGTAGACAGAGATGACAACTACACAGATTAACCTTCCCACAAAAAGCTTTATCTATGGCAGGTTCAGAGGCAGTAGAGCAAAGCAAGGTGTGGGGGGTAAATTTCACATACAGATTTGAAGCAGCCCCTGCAGATATCACGTGAAGTTTTAATGAAGAACTAAACAGATGCAACGGCCCCCCAGGAGATGAACATCTTTTAGCTCTCCAAGGAGAAGCTACATCTATTTGCATTAGTACCCACCAAGCCCAAACATACTTTCTCTTATTTAAAGCAATTAAGTCCCACTGACTACTCAACTGTTAGCTTTTTCTCAATTTATCGCAAAAGACGCAGAGAAGCAAGTTCCCAGTCAGCTGTTTATGGCAGTTTCATTGATCACCGGTTTTGAAAAAGCGGAAGAACGAAAGAGCTGTGGTCCAGTTATAATAATAATAATAAAATCAGTTTGTTGAGTACCAGATACAGTACAAGTACGTCTAACTCTAAAAAATAAGTCGCAACAACAAATATTAACAGGCAATATAGAAACTGGCATTAAGAAACTTATTCAGGTTAAGCAGCATTCATAGATGAAGCAGGAAGATAAGAAGGCTGCCGCACATCCTTTCAAGCAGGTTCTCAACACTTGCCTATCATTAGGCAAAAGCTTTTTACAAAAGACAGCAAAGGATAAGTCACCATCACCACTAGTAATTACCTGGTTTCCAAACTGTGTTCCAGTATAGAGGAAACGCTGGATATAAAAAAATATAAGCCACGCTAGAGATATAATCATCATGGTGATGAACGCAATAGCTACAAAAACAACTGACTGTCCACTGATATATTCTTGTATGTGCCGATTTCCAACATCAATAGTCATTTTCACAGGAATCCCTCTTCGCACTGGCTCCAAGATCTCCATTCCTTTTGGATACCCAACCATAATTACCACTGTATTGCCAGTACCTGTTGAGGGGGAAGAAAAACAGGAATCAAGTGCACTCTCTTACCACTTTTTATCAACTGAACGAAATCCAGGCCCATTAGATGACAAACAGATGGAACTACTTTGTCATAATCAATTGCTAAATTAGTTTCTGCTACATATAGATTCTCATCCAACCACACACCAGTAGGTAACCAAAGTTCCTCAGCCTTGGAAGCAAATTTGAAAGTGCTCACATGGCCAAAAGCTGTGGCCTCTGAGTGCCCTCCCACTCCCCAACGCAATCATGGCGTTTCCCTTCCTGCCGCCTCACCAGACCCCACCTAGCCCACTGCTTTTCCCCCCAAGGCACAACTTGATGCCTCTGCAGATCACTCAACGCCAGCACCACCACTTGTCTCCTCCCGGATTCTTTCCTAGTCACATGCTAGGTCTAAAATATCTTAGGAGAGAGGAAAACAAAGATGGTATGGGATGGATCTGCCCATGGAGTGTAATTTTCCTGTCTCCAGTGTCAACCTGAAATGCCCCCTGAAATTCTGTTCCTGAGGGAGAGATTAGCACGGAAGGGGGGGGGAGTTAACACTCCATGGGTCGAAATCCTTGCACCCTTTGAAACACCTACTAGGGATCCAAGCCTATACCCAGAACTATCACTTTCTCTCATGCAAGCCAACCAAAACTCAAGACTGAGAAAAAAATCTTATAATTTAAGAGTACTGGCACTCTAGACAAGAGATGTAAAAGTTCTGGAAAATATGAAGCCATGGGGGCATTTCTGCAGAAAACATATGCAATAACTACGTAGGAACCCTAAACTTACTTTATTGCATTAACAAGAAAAAAAACACATTACTGATAGCTTAGCATATACAAATGAACTATTTAGCATATTTACAAAATTTAAGAGTCTAAAGGCCTTGTTTACAAGTAAAACTACAAATATGTCTTATTCAAGAGAGGAAGGGAACTGCAAACTGCTGCAACGTATGCTCCTTTAAGTGTATGTATCTTAAGTATTTTTTTCCATTTGAGGGATAGGAAAACATAAATTTTTGCGCTAGATAAAAAACAACAAGAACATAAGAGAAGCCATGTTGGATCAGGCCAATGGCCCATCCAGGCCAACATTCTGTGTCACACAGTGGCAAAAACCAGGTGTCATCAGGAGGTCCACCAGTGGGGCCAGAACTCAAAAACCCCTCCCACTGTTGCCCCCCCAAGCACCAAGAATACACAGCATCACTGCCTGAGACATAGTGTTCCATCTATAACTTCTGGCTAATAGCCATTTAGGGACCTCTGCTCCATGTTTATCCAGTCCCCTCTTGAAGCTGTCTATGCTCATGGCCGCCATCACTTCCTAGGCAGTGAATTCCACGTGTTAATTACTCTTTGGGTGAAGAAATACTTCCTTTTATCTGTTCTAAGACTACTGCTCATTAATTTCATTGAGTACCCATGAGTTCTTGTACTGTGAGAAAGGGGATAAAAGTACTTTCTCTACCTTTTCTATCCCATGCATAATTCTGTAAACCTCTGTCGTGTTATCCCTCAGTCGTTGTTTCTCCAAGCTAAAGAGCCCTAACCTCTTTAACCTTTCTTCATAGGGAAGGTGGAATGAGCTCCCAGAAGAGACCAGGGCCCTGTGGAGCTCCCAGAAGAGTCCAGGGCCCTGTGGGCCCTTTTGTAGGTCTGCAGGGCCTGTAAAACGGAGATTTTCCACCAGGCTTTTGGAGCCGCCGCCACCACTAACCATTAACAATTGATGGTTCAAAGTGGGAGAGCCCAGTTTTCCTGGGATTCAACCTATATATAGCCTGAGATAGCTGCCTAAGCTGATCTAAAAGAGCAAGTAAAAGATAAAGGTTCCCTTGCTCGAAAGCCAATCGAATCCGACTCTAGAGCCAACTGCAAATAAAGAGCCTGAGTAATAACAACCACCGTGAATTATTTGATATTGATACTAGCATTTTGATACATTTTATTAAGAATAGTTAGAATTGTTTTATTATTAATATGTTGTTACGGTATTTTATTGTAATTTTACTGTAATTTTATGCTGTTTTGTAAGCCGCCCTGAGCCGGCCCTGGCTGGTAGGGCGGGGTAGAAATTTAATCAATCAAACCCCTTAATCATTTTAGTTGCCTTTTTCTGTACCTATAATATCTTTTTTGAGGTGCAGTAACCAGAACTGTACACGGTATTCCAAATGAGGCCGTACTGTAGATGTTTACAAGGGCATTATGATACTGGCTGATTTGCTTTCAGTCCCCTTCCTAATAATCCCCTAATAATTTCCCTTTTTTATTGCATTCGCACACTGAGTCAACATCTTCAGTGATTTATATACCATGACTCCAAGATCTCGCTTCTCATCACTTACTGCCAGCTTGGACCCCATCAATGTGTATTTATAGTTAGGATTTTTGGCTCCAATATGCATTATGTTGCATTCACCCATGTTGAACCTCATTTGCCACACTGACACCCACTTGCCCAGCCTTGACAGATCCCTCTGCAGTGCCTCACAGTCCTCCCTGGTTCTCACGCCCTGAACAACTTAGTGTAAATCCACAAACTTAGCCACTTCACTGCTTACTCCAGTTTGGTGTAGTGGTTAAGGGCATGGACTCTAATCACGGAGAACCAGGTTTGAGTCCCCACTCCTCCACTTGCAGCTGCTGGATGACCTTGGGCAAGCCATAGTTCTGGTCAGAGCTGTTCTTGAAAGAGCAGCTCTTGAAAGCACTCTCTTAGCTCCACCTACCTCACAGGGTGTCTGTTGAGGGGAGGGGAAGAGAAAGGAGTTTGTAAGCTGCTGTGAGACTCTGAGTGAAGGGTGAGGTATAAATCCAATCATCATCATCTCCTCCTCCTCCTTCTTGAACAAGTTAAAAAGTCCTGGACCTAGTACTGAGCCCTGTGGTACCCCACTGCTTATCAACTTCCACTGTGAAAACTGCTCATTTATACTCACTCTCTGTTTCCTGCTAATTAACCAGTTTTTAATCCACAAGAGGACGTGTCCTCTTATCCCATGACTGCTGAGTCGACTTAGGTGCCTTTGATGAGGTACTTTCTCAAAAGCTTTCTGGAAGTCTAGGTAAACAACATCTACTGGGTCACCCTTGTCCACATGTTTGTTCACCCCCTCAAAGAACTCTAAAATGTTAGTGAGATAAGATTTTCCCTTAGAGAATCCATGCTGATTCTTCCTCAATAGCTTTTGTTCATCAATGTGCTTTAAACTCATATCTTTAATAATGGATTCCACCAACTTACCCAGTATCAACATTAGACTGACCGGCCTGTAATTTCCTGGATCTCCTCCGGAACTTTTTTTTTTTTTTTTTAAGATGAGGGTTACATTAGCTACCTTCCAGTCCTTGGGAATGGAAGCAGATCTTAGTAATAAATTGCACATTTTTTTCAGGAGATCCACAAGTTTACATTTGAGTTCTTTCAGAACTCTTGGATATATGCCATCTGGGCCTGGTGATTTGTCAGTTTTTAATTTGTCCATCAGTTGTAGGACCTCCTCTCTTGTCACCTCAATGTATTATTTGGACAGAAGACATCTCATATAGTCACAACAGGCTTATGTGGATATTGAGTTAGATTTTTAACACTGACATCTTCCATAGTGTGTCATAATCACACACATTACAGAATACTAATTGTGGACAAAGTCAGCAATTTAAACAATAAACATATCCTTGAAAATGTTTTATGTCTACAATGTACAAAGTAATTCTCATTTTCTTACGAGGCAGACTATATTCCATAAAAGTCTCCATAGTACGTTTTTTGAGTGAATAAAACTTTGTCTTAAAAAGCATTTCACTCATACCAATAAAAGAAAACATATCCTTTTTCCCTGTTCTCCCCCAAATTGAAAAAGAGAGCTCCCAGGACCTCCCCACACAGGATTTACCCATTTTTCCGCTAGTCTTTCCATCTGTACTCTAAGTAGACCGAAAACCATTATAGCCCTTAAGAGTTTCAAAGAGTGATCACCTGAATATCATTCCAAAATACTAACGGGAAGATTTTAAGGATTCCCACTAGTTACTGGATTCTTCCAACACGATATTTATCAATATTTAGAGGGGTTTTTTGTATTCTTTAATTAGCAATTATTTTCTCTACTAAACATTTGTTGTGCTACCTGTAGTTGCCTGACTACTACTTGTCCCACAGTAGGTACATGGATTCAGTTTTTCACTACATTCCATACGTGACTGATACACTCAACATGAAGAATTTTAAGGTGAAGAATAAGATCTTACAACAGATAAACAAGAAAGCCATTCTGTATGAAGAGCTTAACATTTCTAGAACTCTAGTTTACATGGATTCATCTTATGACAGTCTGCACAAATGCAGAAATCAAATATTTTATTATTGTGAAATGGGTGTACATTTACGAGTGCAAAGAATATAAATTATGAAAATATCAAGAAATTCAAAAATCAAAGTTCCTCTGACCTGCTTAGGAGGTATGGTTTTATGTTTTGCTGTCATACTTATCTGCACGCTTTGATGATCATCATAGTTGCTCAAAGGACTGCACTTCAATGGAGTTTCCACCCAGAGATGCTGAATGCATCTGTATAAGTGAAGAGGAAACAGCCAATGAAGAACCCATGGATTTTTCCAACAGTTCCTCCCTTAGTCATTGGATTAGTTCTCTGTTTCCTGTTTTCATATTATAATAATCTTAAGAATGTATATTGTACTTTCATTATTAAAAGCACTTTATCTTGTTTTAGTTCCTACAACAATCATGAAAGGTAGGCAAGTATTATCACCTTCATATTGCAGATGGGAGCTGAGAGTGGCTTGCTTAAGGCCATCTAGTGAGTTAACAGCAGATCTGAAAATCAAACCAATTCATATAGCCTCTGCCACTTAATCACAACATAGCCTTCATTTATGAAGCAACTCTGACTTGGGACTCAACAACCCTATACTTCACAATCTGCTTTACTTCCCCAAATCTGAAAGACAAAAAGA